ACATATCTGTAGCCACTTTATGAGCATTACTAAACAAGACAAGCTTTTTTAATTAACACTGAATGCATATTTAAACAAAAGCAACACATTCATAGCTCTGCAATAGCCACAGCAACAGCCACGACATAAACTACGGTATTTGTGCAATAAATATTCAATATGAAAAGCCCTAAATGCCCATAAATCGGCGGCAATAAAGCGACGAAGACGACGTCGCACATAAATTGGTTTACGGAGCGAGTGTTCCCCAAATATTGAATGGAAAACTTTTGTTTATCTCCCTTTTGTGTGGGTGAGCGTTGTTGTAAATAAAAATATATTCATTTCAATTGCAGCCTGTCTGCTATGGCCCTCTAATATATGTATATGCTGCCAATCAGAGGTTTTCAAGACTGTGGTGGGGCAGATCAATAAAGCTTGCAACATATAAATACATACATTTATACAAACTGCCACTCAGAATGCGACAATTAATGTGAAATTAAAGCGCCATTAGTGAGAGGGAGCTCAGGTTTTTGCCATTGAATAGGCCCTGCCTATAGTCAACAGTCAGACTCATATTTTGTGCGTGCTTTTCAAATATTTATGATAATGGCAGACCCGACAGGCACGCGTTAAATTCATGCAGATTATCTTTTTTGTTAATACTAGCAGCGAAGCAAAAAAAGAGAAAAAATAAATAAATAAATAAGAGAATAAAGTAGAAAAAGTGTTGCGTGCCTGACTTGGGTTGGGTTGGACCCGAGGTGCTCATTTCTGATCATTTTGCTACCGAAACTTGTTCAAATGTTGTACATATTTAAAATTCTAATAAACAATGGGTGGTGGCAACGCCTTGAGCCCAAGAATTATTCATCGGTGCCCCCAGACTCTGGCGTTTCATTTGCTGCGACCGACGGAAACGAACGACCGCTCAGCAGGTGGTCTGAGGCGTCGATTTTTAATCGATTTTAAATGAGTCTAATACTCAATAATTTCGACAATATTATGAGCAGTTGAAACGAACCGACGCTGCTCCTCGCATTGTGGGCGTATGCCAAGAGCGCTCTGGTTCGAAAAAAATTTTGCTATAATTTTCGTTTGCCAAGGAAAAAAATATTGACAGCCCCGTGCGATTGCCACACGGCGCATCAATCATTCAGCGCATATATAAATACATACATATTAACCGAAATTCCAATATTATATTTTAATATATGCGAAATTGTAGCGCTTCTCATTTGCATCTGCCATACTTGTACACAAAAACATGCCGAAGACCTGAGGCCTGAATGTTTTCCAGCGCCTTTTGAAACCCAATCTTGATGGTCCACTGCGGCTGCTGTTGCCGACCAACTTGTGTTTTTTCTCTCGGTTAAACAACGAAAAATATATCGCTTTATCTTCACTTTTAATTAAGTGCCACTAAAATTTGCTTTAGGTTTTCTGCTCTGTGCTCAGTCCACTCTGTGTGATTAATCGAAAGCCTTAACAGCGCTAATGAATTTTTACACGCGGAAAAAACAAAAACAGAGACGAAACCGAAAACGAAAACGAAAAACGCCAATCAAATTAGTGAAAACAAAGAAATAATTTAGACTTTGAAACACAAAGCGCTTTGACATTTCCCAAACAAATCGCAAATGATTTACAAGCCCAACTGGGCCCCAGCTCGTTATGTATAGTATGTAGGATGACTCGACCATCGACGGATATTCTATGGGTATATTAGTGGAAATGGTTGCAAACCCGTTTGCTGCTTTTCTAGCCGCCTCTCCCCCCAATGATATGGTAATGAGCGCGTCTGATAATTTGTAGTAGTCGCTCGACTGATTAGTAGATCACATCGATAAGCTCAAGTTTTCGGGTCTGTACCGTTTGCTTAGCGTTAGCCAAGATCATAAACATCTCCATATGTGTGTTATTCGATACTCAGATATTGGGGTTCGCGGCTAATTGTAATTAAGATGCGCCATAGAGATAGACAAAAGAGGTGCCAAATATATACTTTGCCTCAGCCCCATATGATCTGCGTCGAAAGGCGTTGAAAGTGAATGGCGCTTGATGGTATTGAGTGGGCGTTCGAACAGATCGTAAATAATATTCAAAATAATTTGAATGAATTTTTATGCGCATGCTCAGGTGTCAAGTTTCCGCACTTTCCCACTCCATCTAAGGGCCAACTTAATCATTAACTGTGGAGGGCACAATCAAGATAAGTTTTTAAAACGATTTTTTTACCTTTGTTTTATTTGCACAAGTCTTGTGTTACAAATCAATCAAAAGCCAATTAAAGAAGTATCTCCATCTCCGTTCAAAACTAAAGTTAGATACTTTTTAGGCGATATCATAAAAGGAGGATGTTATCAATTCGAAATCTAGTGCTTACAATTTCAATTCAATTCGGATGTACTTCAAGGGTACTTTGATGAGAGTTTGACTATGTTCTGCAAAGGAGAACGTTCTCAGTTCGACTGTATTTTGGATTGTTACCTCGGAAATTTCGACCGATTTTGATAATTCTTTTTGTATTTGAAAGCTGATGCTTCCCGTATGGTCCCCTTTAAATTTGGGGCAGTTCTGACAGTGGCATCTATGAGAAATCTGCCTGAACAACAAACAATGAATTGAAGTCGGTTTTTTTGTTAAAATTTTGCTTGCTAACATTTTTTTTTACCTCATTATACTGGTCTCATATTTGTAATTCCCTGAAGCAAACTAACAACATTTCTAAAATATTATACTACCATATAGATGCATAAGTATTTGCTTGACATCTTTGTGAACCGCTCCGGCTCGAACGAAATTACCGATTTCGTTCCCTAGTGTAATCAACGTGTCTTGTTATAAGGCCATTAGATTAATGACTAACATCCTCTCTCGCCCCGTCCCTCGGCTGTTGCTCAATGCAACTTGTCAGTGCGTACAAATTCTTTACCATTAAAATGGGCATGGCCATCGAACCCCCTCCTCCGCGTAAAAAGCAAATAAAACTATTGTCAACACATTCGGGTCGTAAAATTGAACGGGAGCAGCCGTGATCAGAACTCGGTTAAAAATAAAAGCCGTCAAGCGGCGGCGCCTGCGCAGCTGTTGTAAAAACCTCTACCCTGCCCTTTCCAGTTCGGACGTTTTAGGTCATGTTGCTAGGGCTGCACAGACTGGGACTGGGACTGGGACAGGGACAGGGAAAAAGTCGCGGACGGTCGGTCGACTGCATGACGTGTAGACCGGGTAATTAAAATAATTTTCACAATGAGTTTTCAAGGGCGGCGAACACGCACACACGTGTAACAGCGAGCGACCATGTGTGTCACATATTTGGCAGCATGGGGTGGAAAATAAAAAAAAACTTATTGAAATGACACAAAGCCACTCTCCTTACAGACATACTGTGTACTATATACTCGTTTGTATGTAGATATATTTATGTTTAGAGCGTGTCAGCAGCATATTAGAAGGCAATCAAGCCGAGCCAGAAAAAAGAGGCGACTTACTGCGCAATGTGTCCTTGACGGAGGGTGGCAGTGGCAACAACAAAATGAAAAAGTTGCAAATGAACTCTTGAGTGTGTGCCAAATAACTTAACTTAGAAGTTAAATATTTTTTGCTAATGTCATTAAAAAGTTTTCGCTTTGTGCGAAATTTCTCGTGCGCTTTGTGCGCCAGGCAATTAAAAAGCGAAAAGCTGACAATTTCCTTGCCCTGCAGAGTGGAAGTGGCAGTGGAAGTAGCAGTAGCAGCAACAGTAGCAGTAAAAGCAGCTGCCAGACCCCAGCTGGCGACGAAATTTTTGCCCTATCTTTGTGCAGAATTTGCTCAGAGTGCAGGCAACAGCCGTGTACTTGCCACACGGACAGCAAGACAAACATCTATTGCGGACAGAAAGGGCGAAGGAAGCATGGGCGCTTAATTGAAAATGTAATTAAATTAATAAATTGCATTTTTTCGCACAGAGCTAACACTTGCTTTCATCGTACGGAGGTGGACTAGAGAGCGTGATTGGAATTTGATACAAAATTGTTTTAATGCTGGGGACAATGATATTATTTTATTTATTTTATTATTCAGAATTCAACAATAATACTGTCGATTATATTATTAAACTTAATATAACAATTTCAACTAAATTTGCAAGATAAGAAAGCCTAACACAAAGCTGTGCAATGACGTCTATTAATGCCTCCGACACGTTGGGGGAATTTTATTTGCCCCGATTCACAGCCATATATGGTCAGAGACATTAAATACCTAAAAAACTATGCAAAAAGTGGATAAAGGTGGAAAATTAATTCTCCAAAAATCCAAATAGAAAAAGTACAAAGTAGAACGAGAAAGAGAAAAAGAAAGAAGGAAAGAGAGATAGAGAAACAGAAAAGAGAAAGGTGGAAAGAGAGAGACGAAAAGAAAAAGAGGGAAGGAAATCTGGATGCTCTAGGACAAACGAATTTTAGCACGTAATAAAATTTGATGAAGAGGATCTGTAATTGAACTTTACAATATATCATAATTATGGGCTTGAAAGGGCTGATGTTCCAAAAGTTAAAGATACCTTCCAAAAGATGAATTTCTATGTAATTCACTTCATTTTAGCTTGTTTCTAAGTCTGACGTAAAGTTCATTGATCAAGATAAGGAGTTTGTTAGGATGTCCTCCAAAAGTATACGTATATGAATAACACGAAACTAGAACAAATAAAGCTGAACTTCAGAAATTTCAAACTCAAATATTTCCTTTATAATTTCCATTAATTGGAAATTTAATAAAACCTTTCAAAAGTATACCATAGAATACTAATGCTTATATTAATTACGCGTCATTATGAATAACACGAAACTAGAACAAATAAAGCTGAACTTCAGAAATTTCGAACTCAAATATTTTATTTATAATTTCCATTATTTGGAAATTTAATAAAACCTTTCAATATATAGTATAGGCCAATATAATTCTAATAAATAATTATTATTATGTATATTATATATTAATTTTGTTCCTCTATTCTCTCTCTTTCATTGCAGTTGGGCCATAAAAAGACACGGAAATGTATTATAAAAGTGTTAAGAGTGAATAAAACTTCCCCATCCTCGGCCCACAATTCCCTTAAAAACAACTAAGAAAGCTCCAAAAAAGAATGTTCCATGCAATATTCAATAGTTCAGTGTAAAACCAACAATTAAAATCCACAAATTGTTTGTACAGTAGTGTTGAGCCAGGCATTTAAATAATTCCCTGAGCATCAGAAAACAACAACGACAACAACAGCGTTCAACGCGTGCCCCAACAATATGGCGGCACGACGTTGCTCGTTGATGCGCCCTGGGCGAGGGCTCCAACAGAGGCAGCGGAACGCGTTTTGGTGGCTCGCATCAGGCGTTGATTTCGCAACGTTTACAGTGCGTGCCGGAATAGTGTGGATGGCGACTGTCATCTTGCTCATAGGACAGTTGGGGGCAGATCATGCGGCCAGTTACGAAGGTCTCAGAGCGGAAAATGCGGCACGCATGCTGGCCGGAAGTCCCGACGATGTGGAATCCACACACCATCCCGCTGTGGTCGGTAGTAGTGACATGTCACTGGTCCTGCCTCACGACACCTATCCAGGCTTCAGCATTAAGAAATTCAGGACGCACCCGCTGCGTATGTCAAACGGCACATATAGTGCTGTTGGCGGAGTCGCAGCCTATCACATGCTGGATAGCGACTACTCGAAGTACTTTACAGTGCTGGATGATGGGGTTGTGATGACCACAGCTGACATATCGCCGCTGGTCAATCGACCCGTGCAGCTGGTCGTGGTGGAACAGACTCCCAATGCGACCAACACTCATAACCTGCAGCTCTTCATCATGCATCGGAAGGACATGCTGCGTTTTTCGGGCTCGCTGCTGGACGCCAGCGGCGAGGTACGAGAAAACCGGCCGGCGGGCACCCGCGTGCGTGGCGTCCCATTGATGCAGGCCTTTAGTGGCTCCATTCTGGACGAGGAGCTAGCCACGCCCAAGAAGGTGCGCTACACCATCATCGATGGCAATGTGGACGACGCTTTTGCGCTGCAGGCCCGTAAGGCTAATCAGAATACGCAGCCGAATGCCCAGTCCCTGGTTATCGATGGGGACGATGAGTCAGGCGTGTGGCTGGTGACCAATCGGCCGTTGGATCGGGAGAAACGCGCCCACTATGATCTCTCTGTGGAGGCATCCGATGTGGATGGCCTGGACAAGACAGTGTCAAAAATTCAGATCACGGTGCTGGATGAGAACGACAATCGGCCGGTGTTTAAGTCTTTGGACTATAAGTTCGCAATTGCCGGCCAGAAGGCGCCAAACTTCGAGGGCAATAGCAGTGTGACGTGGCAACGTTTTGCCATACTAGGCAAGGTGGAGGCCACCGACGCTGATGGAGACAAAATTGCCTATCGCCTGAAGGCGCCCAGCAACGTGGTCATCATTGTGCCGCAGACGGGTGAGCTGATGTTGGCGGGTGAGCCCACGTCCAGCGAACTGCTGTTGGAGGTGATTGCCCATGACCTACGATATCCGAGCCTGCTGAGTGCTACGCCCGCCAAAGTGCTGCTCGAGTTTCTGTCTCCCGAGCCCGTTTCCTTTGTCATGCAGCATCTGGAGCACGATGAGATAAATGCTCACTCGCATCATCGCGAAAAACGTCGCGTGACACGAGCTGTGCGACCCACCAAGCGCATTGAATTTACCGAAGCCGACGGCGATACCGAGGGTAAATCGGTGTTCCAGCTGGAGAAGGAGACGGACAAGGAGACATTCAAGATACGCGACGATAATCCCTGGGTCACGGTGGAAACGAATGGTGCCGTGCGCGTAAAGAAGAAGTGGGACTATGAGGAGCTCGGTCCAGAGAAAACCATCGACTTTTGGGTCATCATCACGAATATGGGACACAATGGTGAGTATTGCACAGAAAAGCAAACCAATTTCAACATATGGCTATTATTTTTGCTGCCCCGCTAAAAGCGTGCAGTGTTTTCTTGAGACTAAGAGCTTTATTTAAGGGCCGATTTACATTTTCAAATACATGCACTCCATCTGAACTGAATTGCTTGTAATTGCTGCAGTGTTTTTAGTCGTCCGCACACAAATGTTTGGGGACCATTTAATTTACGAGTATTAAAGAATTTGCGTAATTTTCACTGTGGAATAAAGTTTATTTATGGCCCGTCAGTCTTTTCCCGCTTTCCGCTCCTTGCTGGCCACTATACTATATTGTGGCTTTGCTGGCAGCCTTTTTCATATTCCATAATTTTCCAGCGTTTTTAATTGCATAAATTTGCACTTTATGTGCTTACATAAAGCTTCAAGCATAATGTCCTATGCATAATTACATTTGTCTGGCCGGGCCGATCATGGGTGGGCACAAGTGGGCGCTGATTCCGTCACTTGGTGGTGTTCCTGGAACTTCATTGAGTGTGTGATGAGGCGTTGATGGGGGGGGGGGGGAGGGGGGGGGGAGTATGCCCTGAAGCTGCTTTATTACGAGCTCTGAGCAGCAGCGTAATGAAATGTGAAAGGAATGAAAGATAATCTGAACAGAATGCAATTCCACATAAGAGGATAATTGATAATGGATTCAATTTGTGGCTACTCATGGACTTTAGATAAATTCTTTAACCATTTTCACAAGTTTATTTCCACATCGAGCGACCCAGATTCTGTCAGTGGCCATTTAAAGAAAGCTAACCAAATAAGTTTCCGCATGAGAAATCAATTTGAACAATTAAGTAAAGAAAAGCTTGTGAAAGTGTGTCACATGTATGAATGTGTTTGTGTGTGCGTGTGTGTGTGTGTATGTAAAGAATGTTGTTTTGCCATAAAATTGCAAATTAATTTTCAAATATTTGCTGTCAGGAAAAGTAATTACGCTTCCCAGAGTTGAAATGCCAATAGCAACATGCACAGCCACAGCAGGAGTGCCGACAGCCCAAACAATAGCAATCAAAGAGCAGATACACCCGATCGCCTGTCACCTACCACCTATCCATCTACCCAGATGCTCTGTTAACATATAGCACATACGAGTATCTGGCGATGTACTTGGCTTGTGTGTTATTTCAAGCGTAACTCAATAAGCAAATATTGAACTATTTTGAAGAAGACAAGAGAACCCTGTTAACTGGTATGGACAGCGAGGCTGTGCCTCAAAGTGAACAACAACAAAAACAACAACAGGGTGAGCAGCCAAATCGACCTTCCAGTTGGTCAACCAGTCAGTCATTTAGTCAATGAAGGCTTCTCGAACATTTGACATTGGCCAATCATGTGCATTGCCTGTTCGGTAAGAGCACGCAAAGTTCCGATTGCATGCGGTCTCTGTGAGTTGGTGTGTTGCCAAAAGGGCAGCACACGTTCGAACATTCGACGGACGACCACTTCTGAGGAATAAATATGTGGTAGTGGCGGAGGTGGAGAGACCGCAGATTCGTTTCCATACCTTCACCAACCCAACGACACGTCATGCAAAATTTAACTCTGGTAGTGGCATGCCATTTGACATGGACCCAAAAAGTTCAACTAACGTCAACTTGACTGACAGCCAACAGACTACAGAGGGTAACTAGCCATGGGCCAACAGATGGGCCAACAGAAGAGGGAGCGCACGAGGCATGTAGTATGTGTATGTGGATGTGGATGTACTACTTGTATATGAGGCGCAGTGCAGTCTCTTGTTTAAATTAATAAACGTCTGACTGGAGTTTTTACTGCAGTTTTTCCATGTTGCAGTTGATAATTGTGCCTCATCTGCCAATCCATCGAGTCTGTCTGTTGGTCCTGCTGTCCCCACAGCCTCTCTGGCTGACTATGTTGGCATGTTGCTGTTCATCTGTCAGTCAATTAAGAGTTTTAATAAATGCATTCTGCCACACTCCCACACACCAGTCTGTCTCCTTCTCTCTCTCTCTCTCTTTCTCTCTCTACCCCTTTTGTGCCCCTGCCTCACTTGGTCGCTGTTTGTGATTTTCATTAAAGTTATATTTTGTTTCACTTTGCTGGCTTTTGTTCGTTTTTGATTTGCTCGTTGGTGCTTTATGGCCATTGCAATTTTTCGCGTTCGGTCCCATTAAATATTTAGTTCTTAAGTGCTCTGCATTTCTTGGATTATTGGATTGATGGGCATGGAAGTGGGAAAAACGATGTTGTATTGCATTATTAAATCTGCCAGCCCTGTTTACCGTTTTCTGAGCAGCCTGTTTCATTATCCGAAGTGCTTGGACTACAAGAAAGAGCCGAAGAGAAGTCAGCAAGGCACTTGAAATATTTCAAGAAATATTATTAACGCTAAGGATATGCACTTGCATCCTCTTGCATGCCTCATGCTTTGCTGTCTTCTCGAGTGTCATACTTGTATGCCAGGGCGCATAGAGAATAACTGTTCTGGGTGTCAGGTTAATTTATGCCACGCACGCACACACACACACACTCGCCGCTTAGATCCTGTTTAGTAGTTGTATCAAGTCGCACACAAGTGGCCAGCAACTAAAGCCAGATAATCATAATTCATTTAGCAGCAAGAGCTGTATCTGAGAAGCAGCACTAAACCACTTAACAATGCGATGCACCGCACCCAGCATCCTTGTCGTCAACACACTCGTAGCCGTGGTCTAGGGTTGCCAAGGACTATTGTACAATCCGCTGCCACTCAGTGCACGGAGCAAAAGAAATTTACGACAATATTTTTCATTCATTTAAAATTCTACGCCAATACACACGCTGGCTGGAGGTGCGTGTGGCATGTGAGTGCGTGGGGGATGGAAACAACAGAGCAAGCCAGTGAGCAAGTGAGCAAGAGAGCAGTACTGTGCCAGCTGAGTGAGCACAGAAATCTGTTTAGCTTGGAATGGAAATAATTTCCTGCAGCAGGTAGCAGTCGCGAGCGAGCTGGGAACGATTTCAGAACACACCAAACGAATGCCGCTCAGAAAGCAGAATGAAGAACATGCGCAAGGTTCCGTTAAGTGCTCAAAAAATGCCGCTTCAATACAGAGAGCAAAACGCAGAGAGAAATACAGAGAGGGAGAGAGAGAGAGAGAGAGAGAGAGCGAAATAAATTGCTAGTTGGTAAATGAGGGCGGGTGGAAGGTGGTTGCTGAGACATGTCCAACAGGAAAGGCGGCGGTACAATTAGAATTGTTGCCCAAAATAATGTTCATGGCATCGACTAGGCAGACAAAAATACGATTTGTTGCAAATTTGCCTTGGCCAGCAATGAAAGGGGTGGAGGGCAGTTGATGCTGAAGGGCATGGATTGGGGTGGTCGGTGGCGCTTTGATGGCGCTATGTTTGTTTTATAAATTTCCAAGCGCATTGTTTGCCAAAAATGTATGCAGTTTCGCTCTGGAATAGTAGCTAGGGGTGGTTAGTAAGGAGCGGGGCGAGCTTTTTTCTGCCCTTACATTCCTTTACACAAAGCGAGGCAAAACATAGAAAACATTTCGACAGCAAACAGTGTATGGGAAAGGGGGAGAGGGCGCCAAAAGAGTAGGCTGATAGTAGAGTGGGCGGATGGTTGTTTGTGGCAGTTGTTTTTTGCAGCTGTTGTTTTCATGGTTTATTTTATTTTTGCTGCTGCACCCACACATACGACTAAGAATGTATACACACATACATACGAACATAGTGAAAACATTGCGTGGCAGTAAAAAAGAAATGTGAGCTTGTAAAAGGGAAAAGGCATGAAATTTATGCAGTGCATGAAAAATGAAAATATGCACGCATGCAAAACAGGAACAACAGCCGTAACTGTGGCAAGGTGGCTAGGGCTAGCAGAATGCGCGGCAGGAGGGTGCAACCATGGGGCAGACACTAAAGTTATTTAGCAGTTTTTGCATGCCAAAGCGAAATATGTGGCATTTTTTATGTGGAAAGCGAGGAGCGAGAAGCAAAAAGCGTGTGTGAGTTAACAAAAAAAAAATGAGCAACCTGTTACGAGCAGGGATGTGCTTGGTCCTTGGTCCTTGCACATCAAGATGGTGTTCGGCTCTTTGCAGCAAACAGTAGTGGCTTAGTCTGAATAAAGTTGACACATCCCTAAACTTTTGACAAAGTGCACAATATCGAGGCTTTGTTTCTGACAAACCGACGCTTCAAACTTGTTTTTACTGCTGCATGATAAAAAGTTGCAAGCCTGTAGAACGAACTTATGGCCCTTCTTCTCCCTTTCTATCCCCCCGCCTGCAGCGCAATGTCAACTCATATCGATGAGAAAAGTTTTAGCTACACGGGAATAACTTTGTTACTCACTAGAGGCTGGTTCTGTTTGGCTATAAACAGCAACATGAAAGGTGACTTGCAACTGGGATTGCAACAGCACTGTTAATTTTTATTGCAAAACTAAAAAGGTAAAATACTTTATAGCTCTATATCCATGAGCATTTGTGTGTCGCGATGCATATGAACATTGGAATTGCAAACGGACTTTGTTGCTCCAAGCACACTGGTACCTATTTAAATAGGATCAGGCATAGAAAATTTAATAAATATCAAATTTAATGGATATTTAAATTGTCGAAAAATGTTCCTAACAGGAAATTACAGGAATATTTAAGAAATAATTTGGTTACTGCTTAACTATTTAGAGTGTTCTAATCTTAATAATAAGAAAGGAGGGGGTTTCTAGTTTCTGCACAAAGTACCTCAATATATTCATCTATGACTGTAATGATTTCAAAGTTAAAACGAAATACGATTCTGTATAGTAGAGCATGTACTTTTATTACTTCCAGGTCACAGATATCTAGATAGATTTTTTCTGAAAGATTCAGCTCAAACTATAAAAAATGTGAATCTGCTTCATTATAAATCGTTTAAACTAACATTTGAATTAAATATGTGGATCCACCTTTTATATTATAAGCTGCTCATTAAATATAATTGCATTTTTTAAGCTGGAAA